TATATATGTATATATATATATATATATATATATATATATATATATATATGTACTCTAGTTATTCCCAGAGCTGCACAGAGAGCTGTCACCAGCACCCAGAAATAAGCCTCCTACATGATATGTTGTCAGTCCCCAGATGTGCTACCACCATGCTGGCTCTGCTGATGTTGGCTGCCACAATCATCGCTCTGTTGGGCAAGTCGTCTTCCACTAATGACTCCGGTGTCACCACCATGCTAGCTTCAAGAAAGGGGACCCAGTTCTTTCATGGTTATAAATCAGAAATGCAGGAAAGATGGATTTCCAATTCTACACAGACACACAAAGTCCAAGTTCTCCTTTGAAACTTGACTGCACTGAATCCTCCAAATATTAGAAACGCCGTAAAATGTACAATGTACATTACTATGTATGCATATGCTGAGGGACTGTGAGCAAGTTCCCATTTCCAGGGAAATCTTACTAATCTACTGATACCTGGTTTTGGTTTTTGCTAACTCCATCAACTCTAGATGAAATAGAATCTGATCCCCTCAAGTCTGGGTTATAAATTTTCTCTCTCAAAACATGGTGCGAGGGTCATTAAAATTGTAGATAAAGGGGCCCGCCAATGGCACAGTGGTGAAAATCAATGCTCTGTGAGGCTCCAAATGGGAAGGTTCTTGGTTCATGCCTGGAGGCATCCCTGAATATACTAGGTACTTCCATTCTCTTAATCTAGAGTTGTACTGTGGTATCAAGACCCCATTGGGGTTGCTTTCTCTCTTTCTGTCTCTCTGAGTCAGGGAAGAAATAAATTTTTAAAAAAAGAAGGAAGTTCAGATAAGTCATGTATCAACCAAGCTCAGGCCTTACGGTTGGTACAGTCTCTCCTGCGGTACGAAGTGACAGGAAGACCTATGTGTGTCTCCTGGCACCTTCTCTGCCTCTCTGCTCTATTTACTGTGAGAAACTTTTTAAACAGATAACAATTAACTCTGTAAGAACAGACACTACCAGGCAGGCATAAAGAAGTCAAACTATATGTAATAAAGAAGCATAATGGGGCCTAGCAGGTGGCACGGTGGTTAAGGGTGCTGGACTCCCACGTGGCTGACTGTGGTTCAAATCCTGGACCTGGTGGCTTGCTTTCTCACTTTCCTTCTCTCTCTTACACTCCGTCTCTCTCTGGTCAAATGCAAATAAATAAATAAAGTTAAATAAAATAGTTCTTTCTTTTCGTTCTTTTTTTTTTTTTTTTGGAGAGGTTTTTCACTATAGGGCGCGTGCGCTCGCCAGACAGACAGAGAGAGACATAGAGACAGAAAGCGAGAAATCACCCCCCAGGGGGGATGGTCACGCCGCAATCCCTTCTCCTCCATTCTCCTCTTGGGATCTTGGGCACGCACGCACACGCGCCCGGCGTGAGTTTTAAGCCACCAGGTCCAGGATGCGAACCGCGGTCGACTACGTGGGAGTCCAGCGACATAGCCATTACGCTAACTGCTGGTTCCCTCTTTTTTTCTTTTTCTTTTTTTAAAGAAGCATAATGAGGGCCGGCAGGTAGCAAGGTAGTTAAAAGTGCTGGATTCCCACATGGCCAACCATGGTTCGTGTCCCGGACAGGGCAGCTTGCTTTCCTGCTTTCCCCTTCTCTCTCTCTTTGTCTCTGTCTGGTCAAATTAGAGAATAATAATAACAAGTGGAATTAAATAAATAAATAATTCTTAATTTAAAAAAAAAAGAAGAAGCATAATGAGGTCTGGCTACCCTCACAGAACAATCCACATTAGTAGGTTGAAATTGACTCAATGTCAGAAAAGACTCTTAGCTTGGTATTTAATGAAAGGGATCAATCAACAGAATTTTTTTTCCCATAAAAAATAAACTCAGGATGCAGTAAATAATTCACAGCTTTGAAATTTCAGGCCCATTCTCAAGTAAAACACCCCAGGATACCCATTTTTGAAGTTTCATAAAATTTCACTGAGGATATTCACATTTTTTAAAGTCTGATCAGTTATAAGGCATGAACGATGAAAAAGTCGTGTATTTTCCTTTTAAGATGCCATTGCAAGTAGGAGAGTGCGATTTTCTTAAAATATAAAATTGCACATGCAATCCAGTTTCAATATAAATATAAGTGAAAATCAGATGAGCAAAAATTAAAAGTGCATCAGCATCCCAACTATTCACTGTTTACAGATTAGAGTGTATGCTTCAAATATAATCTGACAAAGCAAAATGTTATTTTATCATTATATGAATAGGTGTGTTGTTGGAAGGTTATATATATATTTTTTTTTTCTTTTTTCCTGCACTTGATTCAATGAAAAGGGATTTTCTTTTTTTTTTTTTTTTTTGGAGAGATTTTCACTGTAGGGCGCGTGCGCTCACCAGACAGACAGAGAGAGACATAGAGACAGAAAGCGAGAAATCACCCCCCAGGGGGGATGGCCATGCCACAATCCCTTCTCCTCCGTTCTCCTCTCGGGATCTTGGGCACGCACGCACACGTGCCCGGCATGAGTTTTAAGCCACCGGGTCTGGGACACGAACCGCGGTCGACTATGTGGGAGTCCAGCGACATAGCCATTATGCTAACTGCTGGTTCCCAAAAGGGATTTTCTTTAAGTCTCTTTCTTTTCTCCTTTATTATTCCTCTAATACCATAGGGAGTGGCTAAACTTTCAATCAGTAAATGTCACACCATGACACTGGAAGGTCAATGAATGACCAGGATGGCCTGGTTGGTGCTCTGAAGGTCTGATTTCACATTTCAAATCAATTTAAATCCTGATTATATTTGGCACCATCCATTGATTGTTGCCTGACCTGAGTTAAATATTGATGGGGATTATTCTAGGTCCTAGGTTTGTCAGGGACTTCCAAGACAGATGCAGCAATTCCAAAAAATGGTCTAGTTTTTGGTGCCAATTTCTGTAGCATTATACTGGAAGATAGGATCGGGAGAATGAATACTGGTGACAGAGAATGCACCCTCTGCCTCTCAGCTTCCTGAGATGGGGGTGGCTACCACCTCACTACCATACCTCACATTTTCCCCTATGACTTCCTTTGCCCTTCTAAAGTTAAGGAGCTTTCCCTGCAGATTATTTACAATTTGCAAAAGTCTGACTTTTAACTTTACAGTGCAAAAGTGAGACATATTCAGTAGAAACTATACTTTGAAATTTGAATTGTGATCTTTCCAAAGTCTAGCAATATGTGATGTGATTCTCTCTCTCTCTCTCTTTTCTTTTTTTTTTTTGGAGAGGTTTTTGCTATAGGGCTTGTGCACTCGCCAGAAACACACCGAGAGACAGAGAGACAGAAAGCAAGAAATCACCCCCCAGGGGGTATGGCCATGCCACAATCCCTTCTCCATTCTCCTCTCGGGATCTTGGGCATGCACGCACACATACCCAACGTGAGTTTAAGCCACTGGGTCCAGGACTCAAACCGTGGTCGACTACATGGGAGTCCAGTGACATAGCCATTATGCCAACTGCTGGTCCCAGATGTGATACTCTCTTGTGATGTCAATAAATTGCAGTGAGTTATTCTATTCTTCATGCTCAGTATGATAATCAATAAATTATATAAGATATTCAGTATTTTATTAAAAATAGGCTTTGTGTTTGATCATTTTGCCCAACTGTAGGCTATTATAGGTGTTCTGAGCATATTTAAGGAGAGTTTGACTAAGCTATGATGCTTGCTAGGCAAGGTATATTAAATGCATTTTCAAGATATAATATATCCAATGTACAATGGGTTTATTCAGATGCAACACCATCATAAATTGAGAAGAATCTATATTCCCATTTAATAGCTGGGAGTCTGAAATCAGAAGAAAAACCATTCATGGTACATGTTTTATATTAATTTGTATTCTTGTAGGTGCATTATCACACATTTTATTACATCTCATTTGTAAATCTGGGAAAAACAATGAGAACTTCTTGCTTTCTTTTCTCTCAGGGCCTATTTGTCTGCAAGGAGAACAAATTCTGATATACCAACATGTCCACCTGACCGAACGGTCCAGTTTCTATTTTCATAATGTATAAGTGACTTAAGATTTAATCCTCCTTATCTGAAAACCCTACTTGGAAAATATACTTAAAGGCATATCCTTCAATGAGACCTCACACAGAAAGAAAGGGCTTTGGTTTTCCAATCTCATACTAAAAGGTAAGCTTTATTTCTCAACTTATTTAGAATTAGGACAGGGAGGAAGGGTAACACATGATTTGTTGGGCTATCCCTTAAGACAGCATTATGTATTACGTGTAGTGGTATTTGTCCATATGCCTGTCTTGTTGCAGAAAAACCAGAAGCCATTAGTGAAACAGCACTCAGAGAAACAGGAGAACTTCAGAAGCTTTGTTACATCAGTGGGCATGGAGGAGCTCATGGCTCATTCTCTAATCTCAGGATACTCCTTTCATAGGCACAGGAGATAAAGAGGCTGCAGTGGGCACTGCTGAGACAGCTTTGGGAAAGAGCTGGTTGCTATGTGGAAGCAAGGCATGGGAGCTACTAGGATTGATAAGGGGAAGGGTCTCTAGTAGCTCGGGAGGAAAGGCTTCCAGCCTGGGCTGTCCAGATAAGAGGTTGGGTCCAAGAGTCCTAGGGAAACACCTCTGGTCCAGGACTGGGAAGTGTCTCCTGTTTGAGACTAAGAGCTGTAAGACTGGTGGCCACTCAGGGAAAAAAAGTTTTTTCTTATTTTCATGTCAGTCTAGAACTCCTTGCCATCTTTCTCTGTGATGATCATCTTCAGAGCACTAATCCACAAGGTTCACATCAGGAGTCTCCTGAGTCCTTAGATTTACAGATGAAGTTTGCCAAGAAGGATTATCAACAAGAGACTAAAGCGTAGTAAGGGAATAGAATCAGGGTCTTTATTCCTTAGATCCCTTTCCTGATGAAAGCAAGAAATCACCCCCTGGGGGGATGGTCATGCCACAATCCCTTCTCCTCCATTCTCCACTCGGGATCTTGGGCATGCACACACACGTAGCCAGCATGAGTTTTAAGCCACTGGGTCCAGGACTCAAACTGCAGCCGACCATATGAGAGTCCAGCGACATAGCCATCACACCAACTGCTGGTCCCTGTGATGATCATCTTCAGAGCATTAATACACAAGGTTCACATCAGGAATCTCCCGAGTCCTTAGATTTCCAAATGAAGTTCGTCAATAAGGATTATCAATAAGAAACTAAAGGGTAGTAAGGGAATAGAATCAGGGTCTTTATTCCTTAGATCCCTTCCCCAATACAGTCTTTAGCTGGTTGTGTCTCTTGATTGAAAGTCACTTCTCTCTAAGCTTCTAGCTAAGTTTCTTTCCTTCTTATTTCTGTAACTATTCCTTCTCCTTGTTGGTTGAGACTAGGATATGAATAGCTTGGTCATTACCTAAGATAATTCCAGTATTCCTTGTGGCTGTCCCCTACTGTACCTTTGTGAACATTCTCTTCGTTAGTAAATCTCTGTTAGATTATGTGCTTTGCAAGTGTTATGTTTCTTCCTGGGAGGTATTTCATTCACGTGTCTATTCAGAAAATGTTTTCTGAGTAACCTTCATGTCTTCAGCACTAGATCTGAAGAAAGGAGTATGCTTCTCTGCCTTTGAGAAGATGACAGTTTTAGAGAAAAGAGACAAGCGATTACAATACAAGATAAGTACTCTAATAGTTGATAAAAGCGGAAGGGAACATGTGAAGGTAGTGATGATCTGCTAATGTCGGGTGTTTTACAAGAGATCCACTATCTGAGATGGGTCTCGAAAGATGCGTAGATGTTTTCTCTCTGGAGAAGGAAGGGAAGGCTAAATATACAACCTTTGTAAGAATATACTACAATTAAGAAGAGTCAAGCAAATTTCATGTGTAGGAGCATCAATATTTTTCATTAGGGAGTATGGTAAGACAGATTAGGTGGAAAGGTAAAGTGAAGAATGGCATTGAAGATCCTTAGGTGCTATGATGGAGAATTTCAGTTTTGTTCTAATGGCAATAAAAGAAACAACAGTGATTTTTAAGAGCAAGTGTGTAATAAGGTTTGCTTTTTAGATCTCTACTCTAGTCGTAAGCAGTTCTGAGCTGACTTTGCCAGAGACTAGGGTTATGGAGTTAGAAAAGTTTATAGTAATGGCCCAGAGGTGAGATGAACAAAAAGGAAGCAGATCGTCTGTGTGGAGTTGAAGATTGTTCTTCATACGACTCGTGAAGGTTCTCCAATAATCCCTTCACATGGTCTTTTCTTTTAATTAGTGTTAGCCTTCATTTTCATACTGGCTAAAAATCTGTTAAGAAAGTTAGATGTATTTAAAAAAAAAACTTAAATGCTGAGAGTACAGTATTAGCTTGTAAAGAAATAAAATAACAATAGAAAAAAATGAAAAAGGCTTAGTTTGGCCAATCAAGTAAGGGTCATGATCATTTTATTTCCATGTATAGCACAATTTTATGTTTTATTTGGATATAATTGCTTTCATAGTCTCACTGAATTTTCCATTTTTGTACTTTTGTTATCATATTTTATACATTTTATATTGTGCATTCAATTTGAGTATCACCAAAGACAGCTGTTACCCAGAATATGACATCTTGAAACAAAATTCCTGTTGAGCTGAATATCGTTGATAAATGAGAGTTGTTTATTAGCATTCGCCATATAGTAAAATATCAAATTTAATGATATCATGTTTCTGAAGTAATTCATTGTCTCAGATGAAGATGAAGGATTAAGTATAAAATAGATCTAAAGCTAACAAAGGGAAGTTAAATACTGCGTATTTAGACATTTAAACATGATACTTTCATGCTAACATTACCTTGCAGCATGGTTATGGATATGACTGTACTTCTGCTTGGTGATCTGTTGGCGCCCGCCCCAGGGCTTGGGTCTGGCTGAACCATGATCAGGGGGCTGCTGATGAAGAAGAGAAAGAGGTCAAGGAAGAGAAAGCCCTCCATCTTGCCAGGACCTGGGGAATTGGAAAGAATGAGACAAAGACAGAGAGTAGAAATGGACACAGGCAGTCTGAGCCTAGCTAGGTAGCCCAAGCAACTTGTGTCCCCCAGACGAACTGGACGTCTTTATTTATAGTACAAGGAGACATTACACATGTATGTTTCATGACACTTCATGGATTGGTTGCCAGGTTACAGACAGTAAGAAGCAATTGACAAAGCTATGAAGGTTTAATCATACTGGGCCAGGTGTATCCCTTGGTGATAATCCCAACAAGAGAAAGTCTCATCTTTTCTAATGCAGAGAACTAGCTGTTAGGTGTGGGGAAGGAGCTAAAGAACTTTTCTATAAGGAGTGCACCACCACACCCAGAGAAGTCTAAAGAACCTTTCAGATGCAGAGCAGGGATTGGACTTTACTAATTGGAGTCAAGATGTTTCTTAAAGTCCATCAGATGTGTCTGTTGGAACGCCCCTAGTAATTTCCACCCTTGCTCTGTTTGCAGCCAAGGTACAAGGTTACAAGACAAGTTACAAGGTTCTCCCAAACCCCAAAAGAGCAGGTGGTGTTTGCTCAGAGCATGTCCCTACACCTCAAATTCTCTCTTAAACATGTCCCCACAGTGTTCAGCATTACAGTGGCAACTACAGATCTTAAATAGTTAACTGGAAACATTACTGACTGTATGTCTGTTGTTTAGTGTTACTTTGCTGCACACATAGGAGGGGAGAGTAAACCATGCCATTCAAAGGCTACGAAACTACATCATAGTAACTAGAAAATGTCAAGCAACCAAGAGACTATGTTTTCTCTTCTGAAATGACAGATTTTTTCCAACAAAAATGAAATCATGGGGCTAGCAGTTGGTGTAGGGGTTAAGGTGCTGGATTTCCACAAGGCCAACTGCAGTTCAAATCCCAGACCAGGCTGATTGAAAATCACACTAAGTATAAGTGTGTGCATGCACAAAATCTCGGGGGGAGAATGGAGGAGAAGGAACTATAGCAAGACCAGCCACCCTGGGAGGTGATTTTTCACTTTCTCTCTCTTTCTCTGCCTCTCTCTCCAGCAAGCACATGAGCCCTATGGCAAAAATCTTTTAAAAAATATCATGTTTTATCATAACAAATCAAATGAATAGCTAGAAATACCTGGTATAAAGTAATTGCTTTCATTCATCATTACCATTAATTAATTTGAATAATCATTTTCATTAATTTGCTTAAGAACTAGATTTTATTTCATCCAGAAGGCAACTTTTCCCCCATGTCATATTTGTAGGAACTGATGAGATTTCAGGGAAATTTAGAAAACATTTACTGGACATCACTCCATGTTATACATTGTACTAGGTGCTTACTGCCTTATGAAGGAAGCAGAAGTAACAGAAATACAAAGCAACAGCCACAGTCATCAGACTGTGTGGTGAGCTGCTATTATCATGCCCAACGTAGAAATACTAGAGAGAAGTGTATAGCACTGAAAGAAGGAGGTCCTAACAATTTTACTATTAGTAAGCACCTCCCATGTACACACAAATTTGAAACCTTCCTGGGCAAAGTGGACAGAATACAGAAAGGCATAGTCAGGAATGAATGTGTGAAGTTGGCATCTTGGGGCATGAAACAAAGGCTGTGAAACTAGATAGATGATGAGATGCTAGTTCATTAAGACCTTCGTTTGCCAAGTCTGGACTAAATCTTATAGGTCACAGGAAGTGAACAATTGTTTGCAATAAAGTGGATTGACTACGCTTTTGTTTTAGGAAGATTTTCTCTGAAAGCAGTTTGGAAAATTGATTTTTTAAAAAAGAATTATTTTATTTAACTTTATTTATTTATTTTAATTTGATCAGAGAGAGAGAAAGAGAGAGAGGGAAAGTGAGAAAGCAAGCCACCAGGTCCGGGACTCGAACCACAGTTGGCCATGTGGGAGTTCATTGCCCTTACTTAGCCACCTCGCCACCTGCTGGCCCCTGGAGTTTGGTTTTAATGGTGATAGGTACTCCATGAGATCAGTTAGGTGGTTATAGTAACTTATAAACATGTAGGTTTGGTGTGGAGGAAATCTGAGGATAACAAATGGATTCCATGTTTGAACCATTGACTGGGTAATTGTATCAGGCCCTGGGGCAGGGGATACAAGATGTTTTCTTGAGATTACATAATTTGCTTTTTTTGAAAAAGCAAGCCACCAGGTACGGGACTTGA